CTAGTGGTGCAAGGGGTTAAAGCACAGCACTAAGATGCTGAAGCCACTTCAGCATGAGTTTGATCCCTGTCCTGGAGGAGATCCACATGGCGCAGTAGACCTTTCCTGACCTGCCTGCTGCTCTCCTCAGCAGTGTACTTCATCAGTCTGCCTGTTCTGCTCCCCACTCTGTCTCTGGTGAAGCCTTTCACCGCCCCTGCACGTCTGACCTGTACCCCTGTTCTGTATGCATAAATAAATAATAAAATATATATTTTAAAAAATCTACAAAGAGCTGACAAAACCTAATTCAGTCTTTAAATGGAATATTTATTCCTGTCTTTTATTCACTTTTTATTCTTCATTTGTAGCAGTATTCAATCATTTGACATTCTGAATCCTGTTAATACTTCCTCCCAGTTTGTAACTTTCTTTTTCATTTCCTTAATGGTTTTTCTTGCCGAACTGAAATTTTAATTTCTGATTAAATCCATGTTACTATTTTTTTCTTTTAAGATTAATACTTTCCCCCGCCCTTTTTGCTAAGAAATGTTTACCTTCCCTGACATCATGGATGTGTTTTCCTACAGGTAATGCTTTTTAGCTTCTCTGTTTAGGTTAATGATTCGTGAGCTTTGGCTTCATTTTTGTGCATGTGTGAGGTCAGGTCACGTTTTTTTGTTTTCCCTGAGGGGATAATCGCCTCTTCTTTGTTCTGTGACTCTAGTTAGTGGCTGTGTTAGCCTGTTACTTAATCTATTAATATTCTGATTATTTCTTCTGATCTGAATTTATGGTCTCCCTTTTTAGTCTCTGCAGACTTCTCAGGATAATGAACTTCTTGTTCATTATTCCATTCAAAAATTCTCTCTTCAGTGAAGTCTCAACTGTTGCATTTTAGTTTTCAGTTGTATAATTATTTTCTTTTTCCCCTTTTTTTTGCATGGAAGAACTGGGATGTAGGCCAGAGGTGAGGGAAGTGAGAGGATTCACCAGAGACAAAGTGGGGAGCAAAGCAGTTGGATTTACTGAAATACACTGCTATAAGAGAAGCAGTAGGTGAGACAGGAGAGGTCTGCTGCACCATGTGAGTCAGCTCCCTGGCTGGGAATCAAACTCGTGTTCTAGGGGCTGCAAATAGCTTCATAGTGCTGAGTCTTAATGCCTTGTGCCACCAGGGAGGCCTCTTGAACAGTCTTGTTTTCCTATCATGTCACTGATGAATTTTCAATTAAAAAAAAATTATCAAGTTTTTAATGATGTCAATCACCAAATTTAACTTGCTGCTTACCAATGACTCCGATGTAAATCTTTCCCCACACTGTTCAGCATTATTTACAGAACAATGCTGTAAGTAATGGCATTTAAGGAGAGGAAAGGTTGTCCTTTACTTACCTGAAATGAATTTTCTCCCCACATCCTGTTGTCAACAAGCATTATTCCTCCTCGTGCTTAGTGGTGTGTTTCTTAATATTCAGACATCTGGGAATTTCCTAGTTATCTTTCTGATATTTTTAGCTGAGTTCCACCAGTGACAGAAAACAAACCGTATATGGCTTCTGTCCTTGAAATTAGTCGAGTTTGCACTCTGGTTTGGAAGATGTTCCATTTTGGTAAATGGGCCTCATGCACTTGAAAAGAATCCAGGTTGCATCAACATCTATTATGTCAAGTTTGTTAATCACGTTGTGCCTTCTTTTAAAATTAATTATCATATGCTGTTCAGCCCTTTTATGTTGAATGCAACTTATGATTTATTTGGGCTGAGTCTTCCGTTTGACTGTGAAGAAACTGTTACCACTAAGAGATAATTATTAGCTGAATTTCAACAAAGGCCTTTGTGTTATTAGTGCTGATAGCAGATGAAAGAAAAAAAGAAATGAGTGTTAAACTCATTGGTGATGCTTTTCTTCCATCTTTGTCTCCAGATCTTTGTGAAACATCATTTTGTTTATGTCAGCCACTAAAATTAATTATTGGAAGAATAGTGATCTTAGAATTACCTTTGAATCACTATATCATAGTGTTACAAACCAGGAGTTTAAACAAGAATGCAGCATAGTTAACCTTTGCTCTAGTTAAAATAGTTAAAGTAACAGCTAAATAATTATTGGTGGTATTTTAAAGAGATTATCTTAAAATACCATCTATCTTATCCTTTTAAACATTTTGGGTATACTTTTAATACATTTGACATTAATACTCTGGCACATTGGCTTAACTCATAAAGAAGTCTACATATATGTTTAGGTATTATGTCAGGCATTTTTATCTGTTTGAGTTTTGAGACCAGTACTTGAGAGACTTCAGTGATAATCTCCACTAGTCATTAGATTCCCACATTTGAAAAATTGAAGCCTAAGAAATTGGGTGACTCAAGGTCACAAAACCACTCAGAAGCACAATTAGAACCCACACACAGTTCCCTAACCCTGCACAGTGCTTTGCCCATCCTGGAGGTTGTCTCCCTAACCTCTCAGGTGACAACATTCGCTTTTTCTACTCCCTTCACCCACTGAAGCTGAAATACAACTGCATTCTCCCAATTACTTCTTATCTGGATTTTATTTGCGTGTGGTTTGTTTGATACCCATACTTAGAAATATTGTCCTGAGTTAAAGGAAATGAAATTTGTGTATTAAAACTTCATCATGCCTGTAAAAGTTGACTTCTATACCCTGATATTATGGTGCCAACTAGGGTGTATGACTTAAGACATTTTCCTTTTTAAAAAAGATGTATTTATTTCTGTGTACAGAACTGGGGTACAGGTCAGAGG